ATTAAAAAAGGTATGTTTTAAGCACATTTTAAGCACCTTCAAGTAGATTTTAAGCATGTTTTAAATACATTTTAAGCCCTAAACTTTTTCTAGGGCTGACTGAAGTGATAAAACGAAAGTCCACTATGCTCGTCCAACTACACATTTGTCTGTAATTTTTTGCTTTTTTAACTCATTTGAAGGCAAACTAGCCATGTTTCTCAATGAAAAAAAATTTATTGTTTAACAGGTAGAATTGGATTTTTGGATAAATGAATGTAGTTAAAAAAGGCCTCACTTTAGCATAATAATAATAATATTGTTATTATTATTATTAAGCTAACTGTAATCCGTTAACAACCCGTTATTAATATTTGTTAATATTAATGTGATTTTTGAAGATTAAAGCTGTTCACAGAGGATAGGTAGTACTTAGGTCACCTTTACACAAAACCAAAATTATACTAGCACTAGACGAAACAAAAAATTCCAAGTAGGGAAAAAAGTGGTGCGCAATTTTTTTTGTGTGTTAAATTAAATAATATATAAATAGTTTAATGGTTTATTAAAGCAATGGAAGAAAATTTTTTATTTCAACATCAAAGTTCGGCTCCAACTCCTCCGCGTAGACAACGTAGTTTACCTCCAAGTCTTCCCTCGTATGCAACTTCCTCATTACTATTTCATCGTACACTACATCCACGTATTTCTCATAAACATAATGATGTAAATAAAGGAAAATTTAAAATGGCTTTAGATCTTGAGTTAAGAGAGGAAAAGTTAAGAGAAGCTGCTAGTCGTGGAGATTGTGATTCTGGTAATCACATTCTTCTTTTTTATATGAAATTATTCTAAAGCAATCTATGATAATTAAAATAAATAAATACTTATCTATTTTAAAAAAGTCATCAAATTACTCTCAACACTTCCTCAACCTGACTTAAATAAATCAGACGACAAAGGTAGAACTCCCTTACATTTTGCTTGTGCTGGTGGTTATTATAATTGTGTTCAACTGTTGATTGAACATGGGGCAAATGTTAATGTTGAAGCTGATGTTGCTGGAAATAGACCAATACATTTAGGTAAACATAAATGATGCTTAATATACAATGAATTTGGTTTTTATGTAATTAACTCATTTTTTATTTATATTGAATTGGTTTCAGCTGTTATATCAAATAAAATGGAATGTGTCATAGCATTGCTGGAAGCAGGTACCAGAAAAAAATTAAAAACTATAAATTTATAATATATATTAAATGATCTCAAAGAATTTCATTATTTAAATTTTGTTTATCAAAATATAGGCGCAAAAATCAAAATAAATGATTCATTTGATAGAACACCAATATCTCTTGCACGATCACGTCTTAGTGTTCTAATGAATGATTTTTCTTCAAGGAATTCTGGTAATTCATCTACACAGTCTAGTCATATGAATGTTGAAGAATTGGCAGAAAATAATCAACAAACTCCAGAAAATCGTGAATTGTTTTCTCAAGCTTTACAGGTATGAAAAAATTTTGAACCAAAAAATTGAAATTATCTTATTATTGTTTGATTAATTAATTGTTTTATTTTGCTTGAGAGGTTTCAAAATTTATTATCATTGGATTTTCTTTACTCTTTATGTATATATGTATGTATGTATGTATATGTATATGTATATGTACCTATTTTAAACTATTAATTTTTAGATAATCAAAATTTTAAAACATCACTTGATAATTGAAAATCAAACTATGACTACTCCTGGATCATCATCATCTTTGATTGAAAAATTTTCATCACCAGCATTGTTAAATAAAACTGACCAAATTTTCACATTTGATGCTATGGATGCATTAGATAGTCTGACAGCCCAACTATCAAAGTTAGACATCTTGTCAGATGATAGTCCAACAAACATTACAAATAGTGGTGTTGTTGAGAAATCTGATCTACAAAAAACTTTGCCTGAAAAAGAAGTTTTAACAAGAATTCAAGATGTTATAGATGGTATAATAAAACATAAAGGGTAAAAATTCTTTTTTATAAGGTTTTTTCATTTTTTAATCTTTTTTCTTTGCATATTTGATTTTTTTCCAAATTAAATTATAATAATAACCTTTAAGAATTAAATTCCTGTTTATTAATATGATAGATTTTTTTTTTTTGGGTAAATAAAGTTTTTTATTTTCCAGTTTTATGAGTTGTCAATGTGTGGGTAATTATTAAACTCATAATTACACTAGATGAAGCATACAATTTGTATGACATTATGCATTAGAACATATTTATGGCATGCTTACAATAAAATGCTAAACCTGGCTTAAGGCCAGAAAATAAATATAATAAAAATTCATCTTGTTATTATAACAAATTATTATTCATTTTGTCCATTTTTCTTTGCTTTTCTTCTTTCTGCTATGTTCTTAACTGGTGAAACATCCACAACAGCCTCAACAATAGCTTTGCAATATCCAAAAGGCTTAGTTTAGTGACTTGATATGCCTTGTAAGGTTTATAATATGATGCTATACATACAAACATTATTTAAAAAAAGCAAATTTATATATGCTATATGAAGAAAAATGAATAATACCTTAAACCTGTAAAGTCTGATCAGACCATTCATTGATTGATTGACCCAATGAATAGTGGAGATGATAATTTGTCACGGTGCGCGACGATCTCGAAATTATGCGTGTCACCTATACTCCTCAAATTCTATTGTGACTTTCTGATTATCTAACTAATAGTTTGTTTACCAATGGAAACCTTTGATTCTTTCGTGAATTAAATACCATTATACTCACTCATCTATTATTTTTGACTCAAATAATATCTTAGGAATTTTCCAAAAATGCCATTAGAAAACTATTTTATTATAATTCTTCTCCTGATCCTTTTTGATCTTTCAAAATTTTCCACGTATTAAATCATTGTGGTTGTATGTTTCATTCTTAAACAAACAAAACAAGATGGTGATTCATTCTTTAAAGGAGCAACAAAAGCTTTCTGTCTCGAGAGATTAGTCAAAATTTAATGGATTTGATGAAAGAATAAATTTGATGTATGAAGAAATTCAACGAAGTGTCCATTTAAACAATTCTCAAGGTGAGTGATTCGGATTCATTCAGATTAAGGAAAACAATTATAAATCATTATTAGATGATAGTTATAATCGGAGAAAATAAATCAAATTGTAATAAATTTCTTACCAAATGTCGACATTAATATTAATATAGAAATGATGATTTATTAGAAAATCCGAATTTAATTATTCTTATAGTCCGCTGAGACTGTATTATTAATATGGGTCTTTTTTAAAAATTAGGTCAATATCAATAGTAAAAAATTGACATGTTGCACGAAATTTCTACAGTAGGCATGTCGATCGCGTGAAATGTTGTCTGACTGCTAAGCAATCCGGTTTGTCTGTTTAGTCCAGATTCGGACCGGATCAGTCCGTCCCATTAACAATTTCCCGGCTATTCTATTGTTCTATGGATGAATATTTCTTTAAAAAAATTCAATAGTGAATAAAATAAAACAATAATGGCAGAGCTCGCTAATTTCTCTTCAAAACTAACATTTTATCTTAACGGTACAAGTGTTGAATTGGTTAACCCTGATCCCGATTTAACCTTATTACAATATGTTCGTTCCGTTGGTTTAACTGGGTGAGTATATAGTTAAATGATAAATGTTTGTTTATTTATTTATATTATTCATTGAAAATTATTAATAATTTTACAAGGACCAAGTTAGGATGTGCTGAGGGAGGCTGTGGTACAGTGTATTTTGTATATTAGTTGCCTTGATAATATCTGGACTATTTATTTATTGAAATATCATTATTATTATCAACAATATTCATTAGGTGCTTGTACAGTCATGGTATCATCTTATGATCCAATTACTCGAGAAATAATTCATAATTCAGTTAATGCATGCCTTGCACCATTATGTTCTATGGATGGAAAACATGTGGTTACAATTGAAGGCATTGGAAATATTCAAAAACCGCATCCTGTTCAGGTATATTTTAATTTTAGTATAATTTTTTCTTTTAAAAATAATTTATATTTATTTGCTTTTATCACATATATAGGAAAGAATAGCTTTAATGCATGGGTGAGTATGAAATTTTAAATCAAAATTTAATCGATTTTTATTGTCACCAATTGACCATATATATTCAGGTCACAATGTGGATTTTGTACCCCGGGTATTGCTATGTCTCTTTATGTATTATTACGTAATAACCCAAATCCAACAGAAAAGGAAATTGAAGAATGCTTCGATGGTAAAAAAATAATAAACAATTGAATCCAAATAATTATAACAAATTTCAATTAAGTTGTATATTTGATTTTATTCTAGGAAATTTATGTAGATGTACAGGTTATCGTCCTATACTAGATGCTGCTAAAACTGTATGTATTTGATTATAGAAAATAAATTAAAAAAATTTATTAATTAATGTTCATTATTAGAAATTTACACATGTGTTGTTTTTAATTAGTTTGCATCCTCAAACAAAAATAATGATTATGAAGATGATAATATTAATATTATCCAGGAAAGTGTAAAGGTATTAAATACTTAAATACATATATTATTTCATTGTTAAAAGTTAATTTAACTCATTAATCTGTTTATAGATTAAAGGCTGTGGTCTTAATAAATGTTGTAAATTGAATGATGATATTAATAATGGGGATGAATTTAATTTCAATTTTCCAAAAGTATTTATTAATATTTCCTAATTTATTTTTATTATCCTTTAATATACTTAAAATGATATTAATTAAAGAATTATGTTTAATGTATAAGGTTGATTTTATTAAATATGATCCATCACAAGAATTAATCTTTCCGCCACCTCTTATGAAATATTCATTACAACCACTTTATTTTATTGGAAGGAAAACAACATGGTTTAGACCTGTTAATCTAGAACAATTATTGAAATTGAAATCCAAATATCCAGCTTCTAAAATAGTATCTGGTAACACTGAAGTTGGTATAGAGACAAAATTCAAAAAAATGAAATATAATGTACAAATATATGTCAGTGATATTTCAGAATTGAAAACTTGTAATTTTCAAGGTAAATTTAGCTGGTTGGTTGATTGGTTTATCTTATTTAAACTCCATAATGATTTCAATTTATATTCTTAGATGATGGTATTTTGATTGGTGGAAATATAAGTCTTTCAAAATTTCAAAAGATTTTACAAGATGCTTGTAATCATTATCAGGTATTTATCTCGATATTATATCTATTTTTTTAGAAAAAATTCTCGTTTATAATTATATATATTTATATCTTTAATTTATGAACTAAACTTATAAGTTGCATCAAATTGAAGTATTCAAATCACTAATGGCAAATTTACGTTGGTTTTCTGGGAACCAAATTCGTAATGTTGCTACTCCAGCTGGAAATATTGTCACTGGCTCTCCAATTTCTGACTTGAATCCAATATTTTTATCAACTCAAACAAAATTTATCTTAAAATCTGAAAATTCAACACGTACAATACCATCTTCATCTTTTTGGACTAGTTATAGACAAAATATATTGTCTAATATTGAGATTTTGCATAAGATATTTATTCCCTGTTCCAAGTTAGGCCAATATGTAAGAGCTTATAAGCAGGCAAAGAGACGTGATGATGACATTTCCATAGTTAACGCAGGATTTTCGGTATTGTTAGATAATAATAATACAGTTCGTGAAGCTTTGTTTGCATTTGGAGGAATGAGCGGAGTAACTATGCGTGCATATAATTCTGAAAAATTTGTTTTAAATAAAAAATGGGGTGATGAGGTTATTTTAAATGCTTTGATTTCAAATTTATACGAGGTAAAAAATCATCAAGTTACTATATATATAATATATTAAACTTGAGCTGATCATTTACACGGTTTCAGGAGTTACAACTAAGCTTTTCTACTCCTGGAGGGATGCCATCATATCGTAGATCCCTTGTTGCGGGATTCATATATAAGTTTTGGTATGATATTGCTAATTCTGTTGGTATTAAAGCAATTTCCGATGAAAATTTTTTTGGAATTATTGAACGTGAGATTTCTAAAGGCATTCAACTCATTGGAAAATCAAAGTAAGTTGTAATATATAATCCCGTAGCATCTTTTTTTACATTCATAATAACAAAGTATATATTATTTATGATAGTGATGATAAAAAACCAATCGGAAAAACAATTCCTCATATATCTGCTATGAAACAAGTAACTGGCACAGCAATATATACTGATGATATTCCTAAAGTGCATGGTGAATTATATGGTGCCTTATTGCTTTCACAAAAACCTCATGCTAAAATTTTAAAGTAATTCTTTTTTTTTTAAAAAAAATTTTTATTGACAACTTTTATATATAAATTATATTTTTTCATTAACCAGTTCGTTTCCTTGATAGTATTGATGCAATTATAGCATTATCACAACCTGGTGTAAAGGGATTTTTTACAGCAAAAGATGTTCCAGGTCAAAATATTTGGGGACCAGTGTCTCATGATGAGGAAGTGTTTGCAAGTGAAAAAGTACATTGTGTAGGCAAGTTTTATTTTATAGCAAAAAGGTGCTTTATCATAAATATTTTATTAATAATAAAGTTATATACGTATACATATACATTATATTAATTTTGCAGGACAAATTATTGGATTGATTGTTGCTGAAAATCAATCAATTGCCCAAGAAGCTGTTAACTTGGTCAAAGTGGAATACGAGGAATTACCATATATACTATCAATTGAGGAAGCTATTGAGAATAATAGCTTTTTTCCCGTACATAGAACCATTAATAAAGGAGATGTAGATAAAGCATTGAAGGAAGCTGACTTTGTTTTCGAGGGTAATTGAATTATGTGAAAATCTACAATATTATTTAAAATAAAAAAACTTATTTTATATCTTCATTTTACATAATATAGGAGAAACAAGAATTGGTGGACAAGGTTTCGCACAAAAATTATAATCTAATCAATAAATATTTTATTTAGCAGAATTGAAAACTGACATATTTTGTTTGAATTAGAACATTTTTATTTAGAAACCAATTCCAGTTTGGTAATTCCCAAATCTGAGGACAATGAATTCGAAATCCATGTTTCTACTCAAAATCCAACAGAGACGCAATTAATATGTGCATCTGTTTTAGGTATTCCTGCCAACAAAATTGTTTGTCGGGTAAAACGACTTGGTGGTGGGTTTGGTGGTAAGGAAACAAGAAGCATCCCTTTGACATTAGCATTGACAGTTGGAGCATGGCACTTAAAAAGACCAATTAGATGTATGTTAGATAGAGATGAAGATATAATCATTTCAGGACAAAGGCATCCATTCCTTGCACATTGGAGGGTTGGTGTCAATAAAGATGGAAAATTTGTTGCTTTTGATTTACAGGTAGGAAATTAATTTATAAAAGTTATTTTTAATATAAACATTCTAGCATTTTTTTTAATTTAAAATGACATGTTAACTAATAATGTTATTTATCAGATTTATAATAATGCAGGATGGTCTAGAGATTTGTCATCAGCTGTTGTTGAACGTGCTATTACACATTCAGATAATTGTTATTATATACCAAATTTTAGAGTTGTTGGTAGAGTATGTAGGACAAATATTCATTCGAACACTGCATTTAGAGGATTCGGTGGACCACAAGGGATGATGATTACAGAGAACATAATAAACGAAGTTGCAGATCAACTTGGAATGGATGCTATTGAATTGCGAGTAAATATTGTGAAAGACTTTCAACTATGCTTAATTATTTTTCAAAAAGTACTAATAGCTTATAATATATTAGCAAAAGAATTTTTACAAAGAAGAACAAAAAACTCATTACAATCAAATCCTCAAGGATTGGCATATTCCTGCAATTTATCAACAAGTAATAGAAACTGGTGATTATTATAATCGAAGAAAAGAAATGGATGTTTTTAATTCTAGAAATAGGTGGCGTAAAAAAGGTTTAGCTTTAATTCCAACTAAATTCGGCATTTCTTATACTACTTTGCATTTGAATCAGGCTGGTGCATTAGTACATATTTATAATGATGGAAGTGTTCTTATTAGTCATGGTAAGATTGTTATTAAACTAATAGATATTTGTAACATAAGTATTTGCCAATTAAATATCTAATGATAGTGCTGTTATTTAATAGGTGGTGTTGAAATGGGACAGGGTTTACACACTAAAATGATACAAATTGCTTCTGAAGCTTTGGATATACCAATAGAGAATGGTAAGATTTTCACCATAGTTTTTACTATATATATATATATATATATTCTTTGATGAAATTATTTATATAAGTAATTATAATAAATTTTAACATTCTTTAAACACAGTACATATTATGGAAACATCTACAAACTTAGTTGCCAATACATCTGCTACAGCAGCAAGTGTCAGTAGTGATATTAATGGATATGCATTGGCAAATGCTTGCAAAATATTAGCAGAGAGGTTGAAGCCATATCGTGAAAAAATGCCTGATAAAAAGTTTCAAGAGGTTTTTATTTTTAAGTTTTGTCATTGTCATCATTATTATTTTATATTTTATAAAATAATTTACAATTTATTTATTTATTTATTGGTTATAGATTTGTCATGCTGCATATATAGATCGTGTTAATTTATCAGCCAATGGGTTTTATAAAACACCTGATATTGGATATGATTGGGATAAAAATGAAGGAAACCTGTTTTTTTATTTTACAACAGGTGTTGCATTAACAGAAGTTGAAATAGATGTCCTAACAGGTGATCATCAAATATTAAGAACAGATCTTTGTATGGATATTGGGCGTAGTTTAAATTATGCAATTGATATTGGACAAATTGAAGGTGCATTTATTCAAGGAGTTGGGTGGTGTACAATTGAAGAGACTTTATTTTTTCCAAATGGCCATATTTTTACTAAAGGGCCTGGGAATTATAAAATCCCTGGTTTTAGGTAAGTATATTTAAAATATAAATTTGATTACATCTATAAAATACAATAAAATAAATATTATCTATTTCATCAGAGATATTCCACAAGATTTTAGGATAAGTACCTTTAATAAAGCACAATATTCAAGTTTAAAAACTATTCATAGTAGTAAAGGTGTTGGTGAGCCTCCATTGTTTTTAGGGAGTTCTGTATATTATGCAATAAGAGACGCTATTAAATATGCAAGGTAATAACAATATTACTTGTTAGTTGATTGGTTGATTGGTTGGTTAAATTATTTAATAATTTTAATCACTTTAATATATTAAGGAAAGCTAATGATAATCATAAAGTGGTAGTTCTTCAATCACCTGCCACACCTGAAAAAATTCGTTTGGCTTGTATGGATAAACTTACAAAGGCAGCAACAGTTGAACCAAAAGATGGAGAAAAAGAATGGATTATCACTGTATAATTTAAAATTTTAATTACATTTATTTATTAATAAATTCTTAATTATATTCTAATTAAAACTAGGGATATGCTTTAAGTTGTGACTTTGTTACCCACTAAAAAGATGCTAATATTTTTTTTATGTTCCTTTTTTCTAATAGTAATATATTAAATCTAGAAAATTTATATCTAATTTCAAAGATTCTATTGGCTGACTGAAAAAATCACTACCATAAACAAACTAAATCACTGGTATACAGTGAATCTTGGTTTAACAGCAATTAGGGAAAATTTTCCAAAAATCCATTATATCATTCTTTGAACTCGTTGAACAAATGACTTTTAATTAGTATCTGCTAAACCGAGATTCACTGCAGTCAGGGCTATTACCAATTTGTGAATTACCATATTTGTAAAGATTTGCATAAGTCATACCCTTTATGAATGACTGGTCATATTCCAACACCGCAAGCTTTAGCTTGTGAGGGGGGGGGGGGTAAATATAAACACACAGATATATCTGATCAGCTAGTTTGTCAAATTATCCAACCAATACCCAAAGATTGATAAGATTGATAATGAGGGATATCCCTATAGTCAAACCCTCGTTTCAATGAACTTCGTTTCAGAGAATAATAATTAAATTCGTGTTACAACGAATTTTTAAAAATCTTGTTACACATTATGAAAACATACAAAAACACGATTATCTATCTTATATGTCCAGCCACTTTATTGAAACGAGGTTTGACTGTACTTGAAAAATAAAAAATTTTTTTTTTGTGTCCAATAATTTAAAACCCGAAGCTAAACCGAAATCGAACCGCTCGGAGCTTTACTATTATATGTTATCCCAGGCTGAAGTTGTATAAGGGATAAAGGTATAACCTTTTGAAAATTTTCTACATGGGCTGTGAATGTAATAAATAATTTTTACCCACTTTATTACCATTTTAGAAATGATTTTTGAGATTTCACAAAATCTATTCTATTAAAAAAATGATACTCAATTTTGGAGACCATTTCTACCCAAAATTTGAAATATACCATCTTCTAAGATTGCTTGGGTCCTCTAATAATAATAATAATAATAATAATAATAATAATAATAATAACAACAATAATAATATACAATGTTATAATTTTAGAAACTAATTAATAAACTACAAAAATTAAGTTATATCTCAATGAAAATAGCATCATTGATACCATTCCTAATAATACTAAAATGTTCAGAACAAGTATTTTTATCACCTACAAAATAAGTTGAATTCTTACTAATTAACCTATCCAAAATATAATGTATTCCTGTATTATAATTCTCTGAATTTCTTTTTTCCATTATTAGGCTAGAATTTATTCTTACATTCTTTAATTTCAAATCTGACTTTTCAAATTCATTCATTAAAAATAGATAGTTTTCATAGTTATTATCCTTATTTGTGAATTGATAATAAACATTATCAATCTTTGATTGTGATTTTAATTCTTGAATTTTTACAATTAGTTTATCCAAACAATTATCAATTTCCAATTCAGAATAATCATGATCATAATCATTATTGTTCTTTAGATTAAGAGTAATCGTCATGTAATTATTTAATTTTTTAATATTTTCATTTGCTTCTTGTAAAATTAATTTGGAATGTTTAATGAGATTTATTTCTCCAGGGTACATAATATTATAATATATTCCAAGATCATGTTGATTGATCATTATAATATCAGATTTCCCATTAAAACTGTTGACCAAGTCTTTTTTTAAATATTTCATCATCTCTTTGCTCGACTCAAAATTTATATAATTTATTCTAACTTCTTTAAATACCATTTTATCTAATAAATACAATCTTGTTAAATTAAATGCTCCTCTTCCTCTTTCACTATTATTGTTATTGTTATTAAATTGTTCTAAACATCCTTGAATCATAATCTCGTTCTGAACGTATTCCACCAATGGTTCTTCAAAACTTATTAATAGCTCTTCTGTCTCCTGATTCAACCTCAGATTTAAATTTAAATGTTCAACTTTTAATTCCAAATCTTTTCTTTTTTTATCATCATTACCATTAAAATTATTATGAATGATTTCATTACGTTCTATTAACCAATTTGAAAAATTAGACTGAGAAATAAATTGAGCTTCCAAAAATTTCGATTCAAGATTATCAACATCATAATAAAAGTCAAAAGGATATTTCTGACATGCATCAATTCTTAATTGACCACCAAGATTGTTATTATCATCATCATTGCCATCACTGAAACCGACATTTGGTAATACAATTGTGTATTCTAAAGATTTGGCTAAATTTATAAAGAATTTAAGTAAATTTGTATTTTTATTTGGATTTGTCAAGGAATCTCTGTTGCTATAGTTGTTGATGTTGGAGTATAAAAATAAAAATTTACATTGTGTTTTTCCACAGTATTTTTGATTTAATGATTCAAATAGGCTATTTTGTTCGTTGTTGTTTTTTTTTGTGGAATCATGTAACTCAAATTTACCAAATTTATTATTGGAGTTGTTAACGTCACCGTCATCATAAAATAGTAATAGTAATATGATGTTTAAATAAATCAGTGACAAAATAATACAAAAAATTATTAAATATTTTTTTTTTTCACTTTCCATCAACATTTTAGTATATTACGTAGTAAATTAGTAAATTAGTAAATTTTTTTAATTAATTATTAATATAATATTTCTCATACAAAATGACCTTTCCGTTTCCTATTCTTTCTATAAAAAATCAAAATGGTTTTTAGACTAGCGTATTTTGTTTTATTCTCATATCATACATTATTTCGAATTTGAACCATTTAAAAATTCCTAAAAAAAAAAGGAAACCTGATATATTAACATTATGATATATCTTCCAAGGATAATAATAGCTAGAGTTGAGCATTGGAAATAATATCATTAACAATTGCATAAATGTCGGCAACCAAAATTTTTTTTGTCAAGATTTATTGAATTTGGGAAAGTGCGTGTCTTATTTGACAATCATAATAATGTTATATAAAAATATATCATTCAATCAATTCTTTGAAGTTGAAGGTCGTCAGATTGAAAGGCTTAAAGATTTATTGATATGGATCAAAAAATGAGAAATTCAGAAACGAGTAATGAATAAAACTAGAAAAAATAAATATTCAATTTATTATAATTGTGGAAAGAAAAATAGAAAAATGGCTTGGTCCACCAATTATTTCTAAAGGTCGTAAATATCATAATCATATAAAATTAAATATACAAAGTAACCATAATTGTACAACAACATGGTATTTCTATTTCACTTTTTTTTAATAATAAATTTTTTAAACATTAGAAGAACTAGAGGCTTTGCTAATATTGTCTAAAGAATCAGCATCATAACTCAGAAGAGCCCTATTATCTTGATATACAAGACCGCCGTCTTCCCTGGTAATTTTTACTGTGAAATTAGAGCCATCTGCAAATTCAAATTCTGCAGAACGACCAGGTACCTTTTTCTTTAATCTGACAGAGTATGGTTTATCACAAACTGGTGAGTGAATGCTGGGGTAGTATTGATAATAAGAAAATATTGCTAATATAAAACCTAGAATCCAAAAAAAAATTTTTTTAATGAAAAATTTTCCTTTTTTAATAAAACAAAGTAATACCAATTAAATAATATTGCTACCAAGAGTACTTCCTGCAAACACATCTTGCCAATGATGACGATAATCTTGAGTTCTTGAAATACAAATAAGTATAGCAATGACCAAAGGAGTAACCACAACAAAGCTTTTGTATGTGTAGCCTTTTCTATCAAATACATGTAATTTTCCAGCGAGGTATAAGCTAAAATAACCCATACCAGCAAATGCAGCTATCATAATAAATGATATATTAGAATATTTGAGCATTTAAGCATTTGTATGTGTACATAGATCAATCATATACTTACTAGATGCATGTCCAGATACTAAACTTTTAAAACCATCTCTCAGAATTGCCGAATCTCCCCGAGTACATATCGATGAATTACTTAACCCATATACAGGCGAATCAACTGCACCTGTTATTGGCTGACATCTATCAATGAAATCCGGCCGAGGTCTACCTGACGTATTCTATAAATAAATCAAATAAATACATTAAATATTATTAATTTGAAAGCGAAATATGAGATAAATTATTATTGTTTTTATTATTAACAAGAAAACATACTTTGATAATTTCAGTAACAACAAGAGTCATTGTCATAGATAAGGCAAATCCTAGACAAGAATGATGCCAATCATGTGTACTCCTTTTAATTACTAAAGCTGTAAATGTCATGAAAATTAGTGGGCCCACCATTACCAACAACTATATAATATAATATTTAGTAAAAATTTAATCATCAAAAAATCAAAAATTATCTTTGATTTACTAACGGCTGCCAACCACATTGGAACCCTTTCTTTTTCAGCATATGTATATTGAATTGATTTATCCTCTAATGAAAATAATCGATGATAAGGTTCAAGCCTACTTATTCCGAAAAATCCACCTAGAAATATAATAACCATAATCCAGCTACAAAAATCACGCATGAATTTGTGAGTATGAAATTTATTCAATTTGTAAATGCGAATGTGAACTACTTACTCCAAAGCATAAGCTTTTACCAAAGCGAATTTGGAGTGACTCATTTTCGTTGAAAGAGAGGAGGGATTAACAAATAAATTTTTATTAAAAGAGGAAAATTTTTATTTTATTTAGTGAAACAATGTTGTTTCCTCCCGCTTTTTTTTTTCTTCAAGTTCCAGCAAGTCTCGGCAAGGTTTTTTTCCTAAAGAAAAAAAAGGAACGTTTAAATTTTAAACAATATGATGACTTCATTTCCTCATTTTGTGGCTTTTGTTTTCTAAAATAGCAGCCACATAATTTAAATGGATTGGCAGAAATCCACTCCAATATGGTGCAGATCATCTAGACATCAAAAAAAGTCGTGCAACTTCAAACCATTACACAGTGAAACTCGATTTAACGGATAAGTTTGGCCCAGAAATTTATCCGTTATTAGTCGTGTGACATTTCCCTGAGGCTGCTTTTCTATATTAATATGTGAAAATAAATTCGAAATTCGTGTCACATGAAGTTTTTTTAAAATATCTCGTGATTTTTATAATAAACTCGAACTTTGTTGTTAGAGTAAAATGAAAGTACTCCGTTAAAGCTTTCTAATGAATACCACTTCATATCGAAAGGTCTTCTCTACAATCAAACCTGCCTATAAGTCATAATGGCAATATATTTTTTTCTATAATATGCAGATTATCTTTTATGTTAAAGGTATTTAATTTATTAATATTTCTGATTTTATTCATTATATATTGTATATTATATTTAATTATTCATCATGATTTATTATTATTAAATATATAATGTATATATTTAGGGATGTAAAAAGGTCTCTGATTTCATTTATTAATGTATTAGATTTAATTATTATTATTCATCAAATATTTATCATTATAATATATATAATATATATATGTTAAGATGTGTATATATATGTATATATATATATATATATATTCAGGAATGTAATGAGAAATTAAAAGGTATTTATTTATTAATATGACTTTATTCATTAATATATTATATTTAATTATTATTATTCATCAAATATTTATCATTATTAATATGTATAATATATATATGTTAAGATGTGTGTGTATATATATATATTCAGGAATGTAATGAGAAATTAAAAGGTATTCATTTATTAATATCTCTGATTTTATTCATTAATATATTATATTTAATTATTATTATTCATCAAATATTTATCATTATTAATATATAATATATGTATGTTAAGATGTGTGTATATTCAAGAATGTAATGAGAAATTAAAAGGTATTTATTTACTATATCACTGACTTTATTCATTAATATATTATATTTAATTATTATTATTCATCAAATATTTACCATTAATATATGTTAAGATGTGTATATATATATTTAGGATTTAATGAGAAATTAAAAGGCATTTATTTATTAGTATTTCTTAGCAGAATCTGATAGTGATGTTATTGATTAATTTTTAATTTAGTTTTTAAAATTTATAATCCAACTAATATTAATACTAATATCTATTTAAATTTATTAGCAAAAAAAAAACAAAGATGCAATAGTTATTATTTAAACTTTCAATTAATTCCATTCAACAAAAATAAGTATTTTATGATTAATAATGACTTTGACTTTAAAGATATTAAGATTTGTTGTTTTTTTTAGTTCTTTTATATTTATCATACCAGCGATCACGTAACCTTTTTTTTGTCCAATGACTTGTATAATTTTTTAGTTTGTTCACTAAATCTTCAATAATAGCAGCAGGCAAAAAATCTTTATAGTTTTCTAATGTGTTAAGAAGTGCTTCCTCTTCAGGTGTAGGTCTGTGTTTTTTTGATCTTTCTACATTAGTTTCATTGATATCCATTGGAGAGGATTGTTCTAATACTGGTTCTATAACCATTTCATTAGGACCATCTTGATCTAGATTTATCTCTACTACCTGCACCACTTCTACCTGCATCTCTTCTTCCTCTACATAATAAGTTGATGATCCAAGATCTTTTGTCTTCAGTTGATTTATGTCATGTCTTCTTCTCCCTTTGGCAATTCGCCTTTCAGTAAAATCAATATCCTGTTTAATGATTTTGTCAAGGCGACTTATTCCTTTTTCATAACATGTGAACATGAGATCATAACCGTTTTTTGTCAATTGGGTGGTGTTTTTGAACAAAATGGAGTTCTGAGGTGAAGCATCTTTGAAAACTTTTAGAAGTTCATCAACTAATATCCACATAGCTTGTCTACGTTCATTTACAGCTCTTGCACTTCTGCTTACAACACTCTCATCAACAAATTCATCATGTAACATTAACATCCGCTCTCTTTCAGACTGTACTGTTTTGATAAGCTCTTTCAAATTATCAGAATTTTTTATTTGTCCAGGAAGATTTTGCTTGACAAATTTGACACCAAATATCTCAAGAGCTTCATCATAACCTAGAAAATGATTCTCCTTGGTAAGGTTAATTGAACCAGCAATTTGCAGTCGTTGTTGAAGGGCTGGATTTCTGCTAACATGAGTTAAAAATCTACACACAGATTCAGCATATCGACTTTTGCCAGTAATTGGAAAGATTGGAGCAAATTTTTCTAGGCTTTTTAATTGTAAATTCATATTTCCCATCCTTATTCCCATTTTGTGTAATTTCAATAACCCACACCATTCATAATACATTATCCACACTTTAAGAATATCATTGTCACCTTCCAATATATCTCTAGTATTAACATCATTTTGTTTTTTATATAGATTAACTGCAATTCCAATTGATGCCCAAATTAATTCAAGAACTCGAAATGTTGATCTGTAATCTACCACCCGTTCCAACTTATCCAAGTACTGTGCACCAAGGGCTTTAGCTAATCCGAATATACCATACCCAGAAAATGTAGAGATTAGGGTATTACACATAGCTTTGTTTGTGTGCCATTGTCCCAAGAGACAATTCAAAGATTGATGAGGATTTGAATAATCATTTAATCGCTGATAAATTGCTTGATCACAGGCTAAATCCAAAGTGCCAGACATACCAAAATCATTTAGATACATATCACAAGATTCATGCACATTAGGATTGGAGTTTGGTTCTGGGCCTCCATCCAAAATTACAAGATTTGGTGGTGGTAAACAACATCCACTTTTGATATATTCTTGAATTGAGTCATTAATTTTATCTACTCCAAAATCTTTACCATTTTCTTCACATAATGTAGAAAATACATTATTAAATTTTTCAACCCATTCATTAGTGAATTGATTGTCAACAAATAATGGTTCTGGCAACATCTGTTCAATATGATCAGTGAGGCATGATGTTTCAGGATCTGGAAACTCAATTTGGAAAACTGTTCTCAACATTGCATGTGAAGTGTGAAGAGTGACATCAAAAATATTTCCATAAGAAAATGTGTGTTGACTGATGTCAATATTGTCAACCACAGCAAGATTCCAAATATTTGGCCCAGTTTTAAGTTTTGATGCTGGCACAATATTTGATATCCGTTTTTGATGAATTCTATATTCATGACGTTTGGTATGTGATACAACTCGGACTGTTTGCAAGATTGAATAAAGATAAGGAAGAAGCTTGGAGTTTTGGCAAAGTGATGACATGATTTGTGTGAACCAAATCTTTGAAAAAGGAAAAGCAAGTGTCAACACTACTGATGCAAAAAATGTGGTGATTTTTTGAATAATGGAGTTATTTAATTCTGGCATTAAGAGCTTACGTTGTTTTCTTTTTCTTTTAACTATTTCATATTTTTTTTGTTGTAAGGTAGTGACCAACCCACTAAAAAACGAAGTGAGATTTTTTGGCATTGCCTTATGATATTCATCAAGAGACCCTGGATTTTCCAATGATTTTTGATTTTCTTTAACTATGGTATATGATTTCCAAACTGAAATTGCCAAGTTTTTACCATAATTTTCAAATGTATCTGGATTTAGCTGATTTATTTCTCTATCTTCATTTATAGAAAACTTTCTTAGTGCAAATATTACATTTAAAAGGAAAAAACTTGGAATCATTTGGTTGTTAGAAGATGTTGTTACTGCAGAATCCAATGATGTTGTTTCTGAAGGTGTTTCATTGAAATCTTTAATAACATTGATTAAAAGGTTCAATAGATTATTTTTTGCATTATTATCAGTCGATAATGCAATGTTATTAATAAATTTAGCAATAAGTTTTAAAGAAGATGTAGAATCTTCATGATGCTTCTCACTTTGCACACAAGAAACTGATCTTTTCCCAGAACCTGGTCTGGCATGAAGATGTCCACCATGTGATGTCAAGCAATCAGTGCAAATATATCTAACACGTTGCATATTTTCTGGGATGCTAGATAAATTTGAATGTGGAGTTATTGCTGGACAGTCATGCAATCCATGACAAGGTATTTGAATATTCCGTCCACAAACATTCCACAAGTGTTGCTGACAAGCTTCTCCTCTTGAATAAAAGCACTTATATTTGTTACAAAGAAGACATCTTTTTTTGTGGATAGTACTATGGGAAAAGGGAAGAGATGCTTTGATACGAGATTCTCCAATCTGAGGTCTGTGAAGTGTGTTTTGATCATAATTTAAATGTTTCAAACACACACCCAATTTCTCAACTTTATCTCCAACTTCTTTTACAACATCTGAATCAACTTCAAATGAACCAATTAAATTGTAAATACTCCTGTTCATATCAAACCGATTACACCGCTCAATCATCTCGTGATTTTTGTCATTATCAATAATTACACATGATGTTACTTCAACCTTATCTTCTTTAGGAACTTCTTTATCAAATCCAGATTCATCACTCATCTCTACATCATCATGGCCATCAAAAGCACCATCTCCATCAAAGCATTCATCATCTATATAATCTATATAATTAGCATTTATAGCACTTTCAATTTCTTGTTGAAGTGAGTTATAATCAAATGTAAACAGTGATTCATCTAAAGGACTTGTTTGGGAGTTGGACATTTTTTGATTTTGGTGATTAAGATTTTTATTTAATTATTTTACTTTATTTTATTTTATTTGAATTATTGAATTCTGTATAATTAGGTCTGAAAAAACTTGTATTTATACATTTTTAATTTTTCATTACATCAGCCACTTTTTCATCTGAATCTAAAAATAGCAACCAGTGGCTTGTTATATTAATACTAAAAATGTAATGGCCTATTACAATATTAATATTAATATGGAAACTTCATCCAAATCTAAAATACACCAGTGGCTTGTTATTCCAAAAATGTTAATGATGCAAGGATTTATTGGATAAAAATAATATATTAAAAAAACTTTATATAATGATCTTTCATTTGATTACATTAAAACTTAAAATATAATTCTAATTAATTCACAATTAATTATCAATTAATAGCAAGTACAATTATATTATAGTAATCAATCATATCTATGTCATAATTAATATAATTTAAAATCAAAAAAAATATTAAAATATTATTCAGGAAGTAATTCCTCTGCCTTCATTACTGCTAATTTATTTTTTACAAATTTCTAATTAATGACGCACTATTTGAAAATTAAAAATGGTTACACGAATTTATTGTAAAATTATCTGCGACCTCAATATTTATTATTATTAATAAAACTATTTTATAGAAATTTAATATAATTATTAGTATATTGGATCCTTCATTCAATTACCACCATTCAATAAAGTGTTAATACTTTAATGTTTTTAATGTTTTATTATTATTAATTTAATTTTTTTGACTAATATTTATATTTTTGATTTTTATATTTCAAAAATATTATCTGTTTTTTTCTTTACATTGATTGTGCGTGTATTCTTTTTCTGGTCCAATTATCAATAATAACAGCAGGAAAAAAGTCTTTATGGTTTTTCGATGTATTAAAAGTTGTGTAGGATTGGTCTCTATTACTATATTAATAGATTATGTAAGTGTTGAACAAAAATCTTTTTATAAATCCAAAAAAAGAAAAAAATTTCTAAAAAAGATGATTGAATGGAAATAAATATAATTAATTTTTTTTCTTCATAATTTAAAAGATCAAATTATTTCACAATTAAAAAAAAAAACAATTTCACAATTAAAAAAAAAAACAATTTTTAAAAATGTCATCAACTTCAGATACAAATACCAACACTAACACCAATACCAATACTACCAGCACCAGTAACAATAATGATGATAATAATAATAATGATAATAATGATAATAATAATAATAATAATAATAATAATAATAATAATAATAATAATAATAATAATAATAATAATAATAACAATAATAATAATAATGATAATGATAATGATGATGATAATAATAATAATATTGAATTTCGTAATGTAATGAATGTGTTTCAATCCTTGGCCAACACAATACAAACCCTGGCTGACAAGGTAGAAGTCACACCTGACACAACACAAGCTGTATTCAAAGTAGCAGAAGCTATGGCTGGTATAGTTGAAAAACTTGCATCATCATCATCATCATCATCATCATCATCATCATCAAGAAGATTCCGCCCTTATCCCCTTCGACCAACAACATCATCATCATCTCAAGTTCCCCCACCTCCACCAACAATGTCATCATCACCATATCAAGCTCCTCCACCTGCACCAATGTCATCATCATCATCACATCAAGGTCTCCAACCTCCACCAATAATATCATCATCATCATCATCATCATCTACTTCTACTGCTGATCCTCCTATTTACTATACTTCCCGAGCCATAACTACCACAACACCAACACCACAAACACTGAAGTCTGCAGAAGGCGTGTATTTGACCAATACCAATAATCCTTGGTATGGGACAGTTTGTTTTGCATGCAATTATAAAGGGCATCGAGCAAACAAATGTCCCAACTTAAGGCCAGAACATTTAGAAGGTAAGTGCTTTATTTGCTTGAGAACTGACCACCTCTCAAACAATTGTCCATTCAAAAAAGTAGCATCATCTGTTGCTAATAGTAAATTCAGAATGGGATTTATGCCCTCTGATGCCCATTTACACCTCCCACACATATGAACATTTTTATTTATTTTTAATAATAAAGTTAAAATTTATTTTATAAAATTGCTAAATAATCATGTATTTTCAAGAAATGCATTTTATTGTATAATTAAAATCATTAACCAATGATTCACTCAATTAATTTCCTAGTTGGGCTTAATAATAAGCATTTGTGGAACATTTTTTCTTATTTTTGCATTGAATAATCAAATTTGGTAAATAAAATTGTTTTTTCTCTCACACGCTTAAAAAATTCATTTAAAATGTCTTTATTTCACTAACAACGACAACAATAATAGTAGTAATAACACATACTCCTACTACTACTAATTAATAATAACAACAATAATAATAACAACAACAACAACAGCAATAATAATAATAATAATAATAATAGTAATGATGAGCAATTGGCGAAACAAAATTTTTTGTTAAAGGTAAATAATATTTTTTTTTCTTTTGAAAAAAATCTTTTAACGTATAATGTCTTTCATCAACAACTAAAACATCATCATCATTATCTTGCACCAGTCATAACCATAGCAACAACAACATCATCATCATATCAAGGTCACACACACACACCATTTATTTTTATTATTTTTATTATTATATTTGTATTTATTCATGTTTTTTTTGCTTGCTAACATGGCTTCGCTAGTGAGCCAGTGGGCGGTGCTAGGTGGCATGTGTAGTAGGTAGATTAGACGTTTTTTTTGTAACTTGCTGCAATGACTTCGCTAGTGAGCCGAGGGGCGGTGCTAGGTGTCATGTGTAGTTTTAATTTATTTGTAAATTAGATATTTAATATTTAATATTTAAGATTTAAAATTAATAAAATTAAGATTTATTATTATGTGAATATACAATGAGTTGGACTATTTTAACTTGCCTAAAACAGTTTTCAATCTTTGAATTGAAACATAAAGCTAACTATTACTGTGTTTGTTTATTATTTATTATCATAATATAAATTATATACATCTAGAAACAAATTCTTTAAGGCAACTTACTACCATTATTTTTTGAAATCCTTTTAAGAATTTGATGTAATTAATTAATGTACATATTTTTATGTAAAAATAACTAATGATTACATATGAAATATATATCCCTCGCCACTCTTTATTCTCAAAATCCAATGCCGTTTCCAATTAAAAGAAGAAGCCTCTATGACAAATAACCCAATTTTGGGTTTTTTTGAGCGATTTAAAATTCTAAGATAAGATAGAAACCTAAAGTTTATTCTTATGCAGAAACAACTAATGATTACATATGAAATATACATCCCTCGCCACTCTTTATTCTCAAAATCCAATGCTGTTTCCAATTAAAAGAAGAAGCCTCTATGACAAATAACCCAATTTTGGGTTTTTTTGAGCGATTTAAAATTCTAAGATAAGATA